AAATGATTTTAATTTCTTCACAAACCATATACTCATTGTAAAGGAGAAACATGTTTTCTTAAATTTGAATTTTCCTTCACAAAAATTTTGTTAGTTTTCATAAGTTTACTTTTGAAAGATTAACATTTAATTTAGTTAACTTTGTCCTTCAACTGCATTTTAATTAGCATTCACTTGTTACTTAATATTCAAATTTTGCATTTTACTTTTTGTAGTTTTAAAAATTGTACTTTACATTACAATCTTAAGAATTTACTTATAGGTATTTCCAACTTCCTTATGGAATCGATATTTAGGACTCCATTAGAACCTTTTATTACTTGAGCGATACGTATACTTACATTATTTCTTAAGGGGATTTGGCAAATGGGAATTGGCAGTTTAAAAATTTTAAAAGATAAAACTCTTTTAACTGAATTTATTTTTGTTGGGAACAATTTACATATTTGATATTATATCTATCGTGTGTATTTTGTAATATTGAAAAATATTTACAAAATTAACACACTAAATCCACCCACATCAAGTAATAGGGAATTTTTATTTTATTTTTATGATTTTCTACACCAATTTATGGATTTTTTAAGTTATGGAATTAATTTAAATAAAAAAATCTTAATTTCCTACTTATCTGAGTCAGCTGCCACGCCATCCTTGTATACATCAAACTTTCCATGCAACGTTCCTTCATTAAACACCACCATCCACCTCAGCACCTCGTCATCCCGCGGTTATCGTCCCTTCATCTCATCTGATGTGATATGGACTGTCCATCCAATACACGCGCTATCGGACAGCTCGTAATCATCGTCCCTAATTAACATAACTCGATAGCTGTCTGACTTCAAATGCTTTGATCTCGCTCGATACTCTACCAAATTAAGTGTGGCTTGTTCCTACACCTTCATCTACTCAAGACGAACACATCTATACAGCTAAATGCTTATGAAATCAAACTTTTCTACACAAAGGCCCAAATCGAGCCAAAAATTAGGGTTGAGAGCTTAAACCTTTGTCCAAGAGGTGTGACCTTGATTGGGTGGTTGTGGAAGCTTCAGTGGAGTCCAACGAACCTCCTGGAAGTGTCACTTTCCTCTGGTGAATGCTCCAAGTATGAGTTTGACTAATAGGTGGTGTAGCCTTGGTCAAACAGTGGGTTGAAGGGCTCAAAGTGATGTGGTTTGAGTGGGGAACTTCGGGGAAAGGTTAATTTGAGGTTTTGTAGAGTGTGGTGAGGTGTCCTGTTTCTGGCCGGATTTTAAGCTCTGTAATTGAGCTTAGACAATGGTGGAGGTGGTTAGGAAATGACTAGATTTAACTTAGGAAGGCTTGGAGAGTCTCTGGAAACAATTTGGGAGAGTTTCCCCTAGGTTTTGGATTATTTCCTCCCTTTGCAGTGAGAGGTAGGGTTTAAATAAGAGAGCTTGGGGTAGCCACCATAACTGGCCAGTCGGTGCAAAGGGCTGCTGAGGTGGAGGGTTGAGTGGCACCAATGACCAATGGGCATGAGCCAACTCAGGGAGTTCAAATTTGGAGTTTTGTTTGTGGGGTGGCTCTCGGTTTTGGTGCTTTCCGACCACTAGGCTTGGATTTAAATTTGATCAATTTGGCTAGGTTTGGTTACATGCATGGTTTGGGTTCATAATCATGTCATGGGCTTGGATTTAAGTTTGATTTTGGCTAGAATTTGAATTTAGCTCAATTTATTGATCAATTTGATCTAAAATATTGTCATGAAGAATTTTGGATGTCAATTGGGTGGAAATTTTGGAATCATGAGGTTCAATTTGGGAGATTTGGATTTTTGGTCAAAATTGGGAATTTTGGCTCAAGTTGGATTTGGGTGAGCTTTGAGTTTTAATTTGGGTCATTTGATTGGTCAAACTGATTTGAGGAAGTGTTATGAAGAATTGGGAATTCAAATTTGGGGAAATTGATTTGATCATGGAGTTCAATTTGGGGAATTTGAGGATATGACTAAAATTGGAGATTTTGGATTAAGATTGCAATTGGACTTGAACTTGGGTTTAATTGAAGTTGGATTTGGTTTTAATTGAGATTGGGAATGATGAATTTGAGTTTAGAATTGAAATTGGGGGAGATTGAAGTAAACTTAGTGGTAATTGGGGATGAATTGGGGAATTTGGACCTTTAAGGGCAATTTGAGGATTTTGGTCAAAATGGGTCAATTTGATCAAATTGGGTCCAATGGATGTTTCAAATTGATTTTGGGGACATTTGAAATGATTTTGGAGATTTTGGAAATTTATGGAATTTCTGGGGTAGGAAGGGTATTTTGGTAATTTTGGGAACTTTGGCGGTATTTTGGAAAATTTGAAAATTTGAGGTATTTTGGTAAATTTGAGTAATTTGGAATGGATTAAAATGATTTTTGAAGAGATTTTGAAACTTTGGGTAATTTTGGAAGTTTTTGGAAAATTTTGGGTTTGGGGGCAATTTGGTAATTTGGTGAAGTTTGGGGTCAAAGAGGGTCAAAATTGGGATTTTGGTGAAATTAGGATTGATTTGGGTATGTTAATAATGAGGTCACCTTATTTGAGCCATGAGACTAAGGGAATTCCCATTTTGGATCCTCCATGTGCCCCTAGCCCAAGGCTAATAGTTCAGGGGACCATCCACATGAGTTTCCAGTAGATCAGAGGATCAAGCTAAGTATGTCTGGGTTAGGATTGAGGTTATGAGTGCAGGAGCAAATGTCTGTGTGTATGACTGAACAAGACTACACCACCCGGGGTTAACCCTAAGACCAAACAGTCCTATGGATACTCCTCTTGAGCTCCCCCATATTGGTCCCACCTACTAAGTGCTAAAGGTTAGAACCAAGATGTGGAACTTCAAGATGAGAAAAAAAGAGTTTAGAATTTCTATTGGTGAGGGTACCATCACTAGTCTTTTAGGAATAGTCAACAGGAAAGTCTTATAGATAGATCATAGACTTCTAAAGAAGAAACTAGATCTCAACCAAAAATGAGATCAACACGTCCCTAATAACTTTTGGCATTTTTTCGCACATTCTAAGAGCCTTAGAATGGTATACAGACTATAAATAAAGCCTCCACAACTTAATATAGCTGAAAGAAAAAAATTTACACACAGACCACCTAGTTCTTTTGTATTTATATATCTAACACCTATGCTTCAATTTTTACATATGCGCTTCCGAACCTATACACGAAAAAGTGTGTTTTGCTCTTCAAATGCTAAAGTGGTGGCATTTTTGACATGATGTGAATGATTTGAGTGGTGTTAGATATATGTAAATACGTAAGAATTGAGTGGTAAGCAAAAGTTTTTCCTCATTTCTTTCTTCTTATTGGAGTAGGAGCAGCTCAAAATACTCCTGTGCTTCAAGATCTTCAAATACTGATCATGAACAATTGATCTTCTCTTGGCCCTCACATTCTCTCTTTTACTCTATAATCTATAAATGGAGAGCAGATTTGAGAGGCATAAGGGAAGAGCGCCAAGAATCTCTTGGAATAAAATATGAAGTAATTTCTTTTAGTATTGAAGCTTTCTTTTCCTTTCTTCTTGAACTTTCCAATATATTACAAATTTAGGGTAGATGAAGAACAAGTCTAGAAAAGAAGAAGACAAAAATACAAAGAACGAGTAGTTTTTTGAACTGGTACATCACACCCAAGTCAAATATATATATCATATAATTCATGGAAGGTATGCAAACCCAATAAATATTGCTATTTACTAATCAAGCGTCTTCGTGATTTTTTTGAACTATCAAACTGATGTATTTATGCGTGTCACGATCAAATCATTATGAATTTCATAAAAATAAAAAAAATGAGTTAGAGTTTTATCATGACCTTGATATCTTTAGTGAAAATTTGAAAAGTGGATGAAGGACAGTGCTTAATTTGTAAATAACAATGTTTTGGGTGCCCTGCGGCCCCCCCAAAATATTTCATCTTTTTCTTTGGTCTGATTTGTTAGGTGTCAAAAATTGAATCAATCTACAATATAGACTTTCATATTCCATTTTTTTTATGTTTTATTTGCTTCATATGTGTCTAGAAAGTCAAAGTGATTGGAAACAAAATAAAAAAACTATATTCATAAGTTAACTCCACATTAAATGTGGTTGTCGGTTTCCAAATTTTCATCAAAAATATTTTAATTTTGCACCGTATTCTAGATGAAACATTCGAATTCTCTATGATAAATCCATTTTACAAAATTAAATTAAACTAAATAGAATTAAATTTAATTTTGGAGACATGCCAATCATTGAATCAACAATTTATCCTTATATATATATATATATATACAGAATTATATATATATATTTAGATTCAAAATTATATATTATATATATTTATAATTTTGAATCTAAATATATATATAATTTTGTGTGTGTGTGTGTGTGTGTGTGTGTGTGTGTGTGTGTGTGTATATATATATATATATATATATCAATTAAGATTTAAATGGCCCGAAAAAATCATCAGCCGCAAACAAACCCGATTCAAACTGCGTCCAATGGCCACATGCCTAAATCAACCGTAGAAAAATTATTATTTGCAATTAATTATTGGCAAAAGTCAACATAATAATGCTATACAGACGCCAAAAGTATCCATAACGCCCCCATATCTTCCACAGCGAATCACCACCCACTCATTATCCAAAAAAGCAGGGTGAAAATAGCAGCCGTATGCTGACTTATACCCATACAAAAACTCTGCGATTAATCTGCGACCGATTTTGCCCGCCACAAGCCTGAAGGACCTCTTCAAAAAAGAAAACGTTAATTTTAAACTTGGGAAATGGCCCGGCCTTTGACCTTTCAAACAACATAAGCACAAACGACAAAGACTTCTTCTTAGTCCCTCTTTCTCTCCCTCCCAATTCACCCCCTTTTAAATCACACAATAGAAAATGCAAGCCATCTTCACCTTGGAACAGATCAATTTCAAGAGATTATTAGAGAAGAAGAGAAGAAAAAGAAGAAAGCTTTGACGATGGTGGAGCAGTTGGAATGCATATGGGCTTTTATCTACATGGTTCTTCATCTATTCCCTGTTCTTAGGAAGGCTGCTTATCCCATGGCTATTTGCTCCAACACCTCGGCTTCTTCTCCACCATGTTTATCTTGGAAGAGGCTTGCGGAATCGCCTGCTTTAGCTTCGAAGAAGGCTAGAGATGGTTCAAGGGGACTAAGGAAAGAAGAAATTGAAAGTGGTGGCTTACAATCGGTTTTGACAGAATTGGTTGTGGAGAAGGTGGAGAGGTTTTGCGAAGAGAAGCCGAAAGCTGGTGAATGCTTGTCGGACACGGTGGCATCGGGGGTGAAGAAGTTGAGAAAGAGGCCGGCGAAGATCGTAATTCCGTCAAACAACGAATGTGGTGGTAATGGCAGCTTGGGGATTGGGGAGGCATTTTTTAGGAAAGATGAGGATGTGGGAAGGGATATAGAGGTTGAAGGAAGTGGATATTGCTTGGCTAGTAGGAGAGGGACGAGGCATATGATGGAGGATGGTTACGGTGTCATGACAAATATCCATGGGGATTCCAAACAGGTATTCATAAATCTACATATATTTTCCTTTCCTTAAGAGGTTCAATTTTTTCGTTCTCTCTATTTCTTTAGCGAATTTTAATTCAATTCAAAATTACTGCATTTTTTCCCTTTATGATGTTCCAAATTATTAGTTTTGTTGATTCAATAAATGTTTAATGTACTATGTATTTTTGACGTTGTGTTATTGTTTTAATATACACACATATAACTAATGGTTAATTCTCTTTCTAGGCATTCTTTGGAGTTTTTGATGGACATGGTGGAAGGGCGGCAGTAGACTTTCTGTCTGAGAAATTAGGAAATAATATAATAACTGCTGTTGAAGAAGTAGAAGAGGAGAATGAAGATAGGTTGAAATTGGCAATCAAAGCGGGCTATTTGCTAACAGACAATGAATTCATTAATAAGGTATGATTTTAATTGTGAGCGTTATAAATAATAATAATTTTATTAGAATATATATATATACACACATACACACACACACACACACACACACACATATACATACATAAATATGCTTGATAAGAAAATATGATAATGTTGTGAAACCATTTAGAAAGAAAGTAACTAAAGGGCGAATCAATAAAATTATAGTTATTTTAAGCATGTATTGCAAATAAATTTATGTAGCATGACTATTGTCATATGAATGTTTTATGGGTGAAGTCACGAACATTATGTCATTTGGTACTTCTTAAATCCCGATGATATTGCTAGTTTGCACAATAGACTTGGCTGTTAATATAAGTGAAAATTTCACAAAGAATTTAAATAATACAAACAATTTCCTTCTAAAGAATAGTATCAATTATCACCAACAATAATTGCCAGTAAATGTGCAACTAATTACTTATTTAATTTTACTCTTTTTAATTTGAAATAATTGAAATGAAAGTAAGAGTGTAATTAATGCATTTTTTTTATCAAAATACTCATCATTATATGTCCTTAACTTATTTAGGACGTGTAACATTATTCATTATTTTAAATAAGGAATGCAGAATTTAATGTATTAGTAAAACAAACTCAGATATTTTTCTAAAAGAATTTGGTTCAGTATTACTATTGATATCATGGAGGGTTAATTTTATAATAAACAAATTAACTAATGCTTTCTTGCAACAGGGAGTGAGCAGTGGAGCATGTGCAGCTACTGTGTTGCTTAAGAATGGAGAACTGCATGTATCAAACGTTGGTGATTGCAGAGTAGTCATGAGCAGGAAAGGAATAGCTGATGCTCTAACCACCGATCATCGTCCTGGAAGAGAAGACGAGAGAGCTCGAATCGAAAACTTGGTAATTGCCATCTTACCATTTTGAAAGAACCAAACTGAGTTTCTCAAATATATTCACAATTTTACATTTTTGAAATTATGTTCATGGTAAAACCAGGGAGGCTATGTGAGTTTCCATAATGGAGTGTGGAGAGTACAAGATTCATTAGCTATTTCTAGAGCCATTGGAGACGTCAACTTGAAGGAATGGATTATTTCTGAGCCTGAGACTAGAAGGCTTCAATTGACCCAAGACTGTGAATTTCTCATAATGGCTTCGGATGGCTTATGGGATAAGGTTAGACTGATAAATTTTTCAATTTATGAACTTGATTAATGAACTTAAGTTGAGAGATAGAGTAATTCATAGCTAATTATATGTTATTATTTATTGTAAATTTATAGGTTAGCAATCAAGAAGCAGTGGATGTAGTTATGAAGAAGGGGAATTCGATGCAGACATGCAAAGAACTTGTGGAGATCTCATGCAATAGAGGAAATAGAGACGACATAACTGTTATGGTTGTGGATCTTCAAACATTTTGTACAGTTGGATAGTGAGAAAGCAAGATTAGGTTATTGTAATGAAGAAGTAATGCGGCCAAAAGTAATGAATTCATTACTTTAATTGTATAAATAATGCCAGAATTTACTTCAAAAGTTCAGCATTTGTTAGCAAAAGGTTGTCATTTTTGAGTTTATTTGTAATCATTACAAAGTTGAATATAAATTTCCAGATGAGACTTTCTTACATGATCGTAGTTTAAAAAAATTTAAATTTGAATAAGAAATGAAGAAAATTTAGAAATATTTACTGTTAAAAGATAGAAGTAGCAAAAGGATGAATTATGTCCTAGCTTAGCATAAAGATCACACATACAAATAGATAAATAAAATGAACATAAAAGTCATCAATATTTTATGTGAAATGCTCAGAAAGGAAAAAACTCAATAGGGTCGGATAAAGTTAAAATAATTCTCTATGTACATGTGATTATAAAAATATGTTTTTTAATAATTGAAAAAAATGAGATTATAAAGTTGGGTGGGAGCATTTTTTTGGTCTTCTATACTCATAACAAAGCTTTAAGTAGGAGAGTGATATGATGGTGGTCAAATGATAATAGTCAAATGACTACATTTAGATAATGATGATCGAGCAACATAGGTCAGGTGGCATTCAAGCAACAATAGTCAAACTAAAACTATTGGGAAATTATAGTTGAATAATGATAGTTAGATAATGATACTTAAATGATGATAAATGGATTATGATTGTTAGGCGGTGATAGTCAAATAATGATAATCAAAGAAGAATGATCATATAGTGATGGTTATACAACCCTATTGATTGATGGAGATTGTCAACATCAAACATCGAGTAGAGCTTAAAAGTTTTTCAAATGTCTAATCCTTCTTCCAACTTAGGTTTACGTTTATTTCATGTGAAAAGTAAAGCCTTGTGTGGGGACTGTTTTTTTTTTTTTGTGTCACCATAGCTCTCGAAAGAATTCTATCTAAATGATCGAATAAGGCATTCGAGAAATAATATACTATCTCAAAAGATAGAAACATTATTTTAGAATGGATTCAATTATTTGGATGAGGAAAGTCCTTGGAATTTATGAATTTGCAAAAATAGGATTCTTCTCTTACCTTACAGATGTAAAATAAGATTTATTTTAATTCTGATGTCTCATTCCCTATAAGGGTAAGCCCTCATAGTTAATTATATTATTAGGGTTGTGAACCCTAAAGAAAATTCTTGATTAATATGATAAGTAAAATTACCAGAGATCAGACTTTCATAATTGAAATGATTAATGTAGTAGGCCCAAATTTGAAGAATTAAGCTCTAAGGGGTGGGACTTACAGTCCGATGATGATCAGTCGTGGGAAAGGCCCAAAAATGCAAGATAAAATTTAAGGAATGTCGAGCAAAAGATTTGAAAGGGACTGACAATGAGTTTGAGCTGACCAAGTGAAGTCAAAAGATAAATCAGGGTTATTGGATTTGACTGACAAGAATGATTTGAATCCTTAAACGAAGGATAGAGTCTAGGCGGACTAACCTAGATTTTAGGAATAAATTCCCCGGTCAAGATGTCCATGGCTTTCCATCGTTTCGGGAACATTGGTATCTGTCGACTATGACCAGCCTCATAACTAAGAATCCCTTTTGAATGTTGGAGCATGGAGGATTCATAGCTTCAAAGTGGTCTGAAATACCTTCATAAGTAACCATGGGTTACTTCATTCTAAGGCAGTCCCTCTAGTCTCAGGGGGTAGGTTTATTGTTTTGTATGTCCTAGTACTTAGCACTAACAAAGTTACCTAGACTTACATAAAATTCTATACTCATACTGACCTAGGGTAACAATATGACCCTTAATTTGGTTTCTAAATTAGCTAACCTAAGGTCAAGGTCAGATCTACCTAAGTTTTATTCTTATTATTTATTTTGGTGTGTTTTAGATGTTTGTTTGAACTTTGATATTTTAATTCATTTCTGCTTCAATTCTTAAGTTTGTCAATCATGTTGAGAAATCAGGGTTTTCTAAGTTTTGTATTTGCTTTGTTTGAGATTTGATTTTTTTTCTTATGTTTGTGTGTAAAATCATCTTGTTATAGGTTTCCACCTTATTTTTTTATATATATTTTTTTTTGTTATAAAGTAACATTTGAAATAAAAATAATACATATACTTAGCCTTGGATTAGACTTGGGGTAGGGTTGAGCTTAGGTAAGTTGAATTTATCTTATGCTAGCTCATAATTGAGTTAAGGTATGATATAGGTCAGTTAGTTTGAGCCTGCGTTGAACCTAGGATGGCCCGGGTTAAATTGGGTTAACCCAAGTTGGCTTATTTTTAATTTGGGTTTGACTCATGTTAGCTCAGTTGATGCGAGTTGGCTTATGTTTGATTTGGGTTTGACCTAGTAAGCCTAGGTTTGATTTTGGTTGACCCAGGTTAAGCTGGGTTGGCTTAGGCTTGATTTGGGTTTAACCCGAGTTAAGCTTGGTTGACATGGGTTAGCTTATGTCTGATTTGGGTTAACTTGAATTATATTATGTTGACTCGGGTTAGATTATGTTTGATTTGGGTTTGATCTTGTTTAAGCTTGGTTGACCCGGATTGGCTTAGGTTTTATTTGAGTTTGGGCTAGACCTAGGTTGAGTTAAGTTTAGGTTAGTTTAGGATTTAGGTTTAACCAGTGTTCAGTTAGGTCTAGGATGGGTTAGAATTTGGTTTAAACATGGGTTGGGTCAGGTCAAGATTGGGTTTCAGATTTAGGTTAGACTTGGGTTGGGTGAGTCTAGGTTGGTTTAGATTTTTTGTTTGACTTGGGTTGGTTCAAGTCTAGGTTTAGGTTTTGGTTCAGGATTTATGTTAGATCTGGGTTATGTCAGGTTTAGGTTTAGGTTTAGGATTTTGGTTAAACCTGGGTTGGGTAGGTCTAGGTTTAGGTGTAGGGTTAGGGTTAGACCTGGGTTAGGTCAGGTTTATGTTTAGGTTTAGGGTTTGGGTTAGACCTGGGTTGGGTTAGGTCTAGCTTTAGGTTTACAGTTTTGGGTAAATGTTTGACTAAGTGAGTTAGAGTTAGGTTGGGTTTGAGTTGATCTAAGTCAACCCAAACCCTAGTTGAAGGTTATTGAGTTGACTTAACCTAATTAGATTTAAGAAAGTAAAATCTTCATTTAAGAGAAAAGGAAAGAAGCTTACTGAAGTGAAGGAAGAGGTTGACTAGAGGGGAGGAGGCTTGCCAGAATCGTCTTCTTCTGCTCAAGTTAATTGCAAGAGAGTTTAGATGCTCTCTCTGTGTGTGTGTGTGTGTGTGTGTGTGTGTGTGTTCTGAAGAGTGTTAGAGTTTGCCTATTTATATACTAGGAAGGTGGTGGTTGAGCCCCTTAAAGTGGTTTAATTGAGTGGTGCATCGATGACGAAGATCAATTGAACAGTTAATGAGCTACAGATCGCTGCCAGCTAAAGGGTGTGATGGTTTGTGTCCTGATCGATAGACAAAAGCCATGAATCGATGGTGTGTTAAGTGGACATGGTCACACCCAAGACTATTGTGACCATGCCAAGGAACTTTTAAGCGTAGTCACGCTCAAGCTAGGTGTGACCATGCTGAGGTACTTTTGAACATGGTCACGGCTAGGCCTAGTGTTACCACGCCAGGCCAAAGAGGAGCAATTTTCATTTTTTTGGCCAATCTTGTTATACCGAACCAAGGGAAAATAATTGTTTAAGTCCTTTATGACCAAAAATGAAGTCAACAAATGGACCCCCAATATATGTAGTGACCTGTTTAAAGTATTTCATTTTGATAACTAGTTGGAGAAACTGAGAGGAAGTGTTTATACTTGGAAAGAAAATGCAGGGACTAACATTCAACCAGAAGATAAACAAAATGACTAGATCAGAATGGACAGTGCCGAAACATATCATTCACTCGACAACTAGTCAGAGAAGGAGATTTGGATTATTTGGTTTATTTTTTTATTGGGGAGTTTCAGTTTTCAATGTTATGTGGATTTGTATTGTGCCTGGAAACATTAGGAAGACGGTGCAGGGACTTATTCTTAACCAAATAAGTGCACAAGGGTGACTTGATTAGGATAGAAGATACATGGATCTAACCTGAATGCATGTCGGGTGTCATTTTAAGGCATACTGTTCAGGGACTTGCACCTACCTTAAGCTCTGACCTGATTGTCTTAGAAGTTGACCATTGGGCTTTGAGCTTCTAAGGGTCCTTCTGTTGTGTGCAATGACTATATCAGAGAGTTACACATACTCTACTAGGTTTATGTTGTGAGATATGTACTTCCTGACATAGAAATGAGATGAAAAAGAACACAAGCAAACACAGATCGTTTACGTGATTTGATCCAACTGGATCTATGTCCACGGAAGGGAATCAATCAAATAGTTCACTAAGGCAAAAGAAACGGAGAATACATAGCAAGGTCAAGCAAGGATGGCGGGAATCAATCATCAAGGGGATCTTTCAAGTGCTATCATTGTCACAAAGACGGTCATTTCAAGAGGAACTGCCCAGACAGGAGGAATAAGTATCAAGAAGAGCCAGAAGAATCAGGAGAAGCAAGCATAGCCTCTGATGACTACGATTCTGCTGAGGCCCTGGTGATCACAGAATCTGAATCCAGTAAAGAGTGGATCCTTGACTCAGGGTGTTCTTTCCACATGTATCCTCACAAAGACTGGTTCGAGACACTGCAACAGAAAAATGATGGGTCTGTTCTACTGGGAGACAATAAAGCTCACAGGGTTGTTGGAAGTGGATCAATCAGGATAAGGATGTTTGATGGAGTTGAATGAGTACTGAAAAATGTCAGGTACGTACCATAGCTCAAAAGAAATCTGATTTCTTTAGGTACGCTGGAGTCAAGCGGATGCTCGTTCAAGGCAGAGAATGGCTGCATCAGAGTAACCAAAGGCCCTTGTATCGTCATACAAGGAGTCAGGGAAAAGGGGTTATACTCCCTTATCGGAAGAACCGTGATTGCTAAGTCTATGTACTGTTTGGACTTAGCAGACTCAAGAAAGGGCTGAGAGCCCCTCAGGGTTC